TATTGTGGAGCTGTCTGTCTCTCTTTTCAGTGCTGTTAGAGTTTTTTTTTGTATTTTGGAGTCTTGTCATTGAGTGCGTAAATATTTATTATAGTTATGTACTTCTGGTGTGTTGACCCTTTAATCATTATATAGTTTCCTTCCTTATCCTTTGTGGTGGATTTTACTTTAAAGTCTGTTTTGTCAGAGATTAATATTGCCACTCCTGCTCTTTTTCAGTGTTGTTTACTTGCTGTATTTTTTCCGTCCTTTGAGTTGTAGTTTGTTTGTGTCTTTAAGTCTAAGGTGTGTCTCTTGTAGGCAGCGTATAGACGGGTCGTGTTTTTTAATCCAGTCTGCCACTCTTGTCTCTTTACTGATGCATTTAGTCCATTTACATTCAGCATAATTATTGATAAGTATGAGTTTAGTGCTGTTATTTTGATGTCTTTTTTTGTGTGTTATTTACAGTTTCTTTGTTCCACTTAATTTTCTGTTCTGAGTTCTTTTTCGTTATGTGTTTTCTTTTCATCTTTTTCATTGTTGTTGATTTTGTGTTGATGAGTCTTTATGTTTTTCTAGTTTTTTATTTTGACTTGTAGGATAGTTAGTTTCCATTGTGGTTACCTTAATATTTATCCCTATTTTTCTAAGTTTATACCAGTCTCTTATTTCTTTATATTGCCTTGACTTCCTCTCCATATGAAAAATCTATGTCTACATTTTTTAAGTCTCTCTTTTTGTTTTAATGTTGTCATCTTTTACATATTGATATCTGTTTCCCTATTTTCAGTGTTTTAGCTTTGATTTACTTTCGTGACTTCCCTATGTGGGTTGATATCTGGTTGCTCTGTCCTGTGTTCTTGTCTTAGGTTATTATCTGATGTTACTGATTTTCTAACTGGAGGGCTCCCTTTAGTATTTCTTGTAATTTTGGTTTGGTTTTTGCAAATTCCCTCAACTTCTGTTTATGTGGAAATGCCCTGTTTTCGCCATCATATTTGAGAGACAATTTTGCTGGATATATAATTCTTGGCTGGCAGTTTTTTTCCTTCAAGCTTTAATATATGTCATCCATTCATTGCCTTCTTGTCTGCATGGTTTCTGCTGAGTAGTCCGGGCTTATTCTTACTGACTCTCCTTTGTTGATGACTTTTCGTTTATCCCTAGCAGCTCTTAAAATTCTCTCTTTATCTTTGGTTTTGGCAAGTTTGATTATAATAAGTCTTGATGACTTTCTTTTGGGATCTACCTTATGTGGGGTTCGATGAGCATCTTTGATAGATATCTTGTCATCTCTCACGATGTCAGGGAAGTTTTCTGCCAACAAATCTTCAATGGTTCTCTCTGTATTTTCTGTTATCCCCTGGTCTGGTACTCCAGTCACTCATAGGTTTTTCCTCTTGATAGAGTCCCACGTAATTCTTAGAGTTTCTTCATTTTTTTAATCCTATTATCTGATTTTTCCTCAAATAAGTTGATGTCAAGTACTTTATCTTCAGTCTCATAATTCTAACTTCCATTGCTTCAAGTCTGCTTCTGTGACTTTGTATTGAGTTGTCTAATTCTGAAATTTTATTATTAATCTTCTGAATTTCTGATTGCCGTCTCTCTATGGATTCTTGCATCCTATTAAATTCGTCATTATGCTCTTCTCTAATCTTTTGAATTTCCTCTATTGTGTGTTCTGCATTTTGCTTAATTTTCTTCCTAATTTCATGAAGAGTTCTATATATTAATCTTGTGTTTTGCCTCCAGTAATTCCAAGAAATTTTCCTCCTCTGGAAAATTCCTAGATTCTTTATTTTTGGAGCTTCCTGAAGCCATCATGAATTGCCTCTTCATATGATTTGATACTGACTGTTGTCTCCGAGTCATCAATAAGTTATTATATTTATTTATTTTATGTTTGCTTACTGTGTTGTAGCTTCTTGTTTCATTTTGATATGCCCAAATAGCCTGTTTGTATGAGCTGGTTTGATTATTGGCACCTTTGAAGCTCTGATGCACTGTCACCAGGTGGTTAGATCTGTTACTAGGTATGTGAGCTCAGGAGTCCATCCACTCCTCCTGTATAGATTCAGGTCAGGTGCCCAGGTAGATAGTTACCAAGTGTGTGGTGTAGGCTCTCACAGTCCTAGACAGGCATGGGTGATTGGTGTAGGCACAGGCATCAGGCTGCCGCAGGGGGACATGCTGTAAATAAGGCCTGGGGCTGACGGCCACCACCGAGTTTCCAGGAGGAAAGCGTGCCCCTGTTCCCTAGAGCGCGTAGGTGGGTGGACTGTGAGCACGTAATGCTGTTGGCTGTAAGGATTGAGGGTCATCTCTTATTCAGGGCCCCTATTGCAGGTGGCTAGGTGGTGTATGTGTAGCCACCAGTCCTCAGGCCCCTGATGTGGGTAGGTGAAGACCCTGCTTAATGGGCAGAGCAGTGTCAAATATCAAGAACCTGCCACTTCACAGCTGAAACAGTTGAAGTTAGAGTTCCAGTATATACCCTGTTGCACTGCAGTAATGAGGGCCTACGCTGTTGAGATGGGCCCACACAAGTCTATGCCGGGGGAAAGGAATTGAAAGTCTGTGGATCTCTTATGCCTGTGCCTAGGCAAAAGAGCTGTGCCTGCCTTGGTTTCCTGGCTTAGGGGAGCCAGCAGTTTATTTTTTCCCATTTGTTAATTTGTTCATTCTCCAAGCAGGGATAATGGCTCCGGGCGTGTGACAGATCCTAATTCTGGCCCAGGGAACTCGGCAATTGCTGAAGCTGGTCCAGGACCCAGTACAGAGCAGGGAGCAGGGAGGTAAATGGAAGAGAGGTTTTTCCCTAAGGAGGGTGTTTTTGCTCCATGCGGTAAGCCATACCTAAGTAATCTTTGCCAAAGAGGGCTGCTTCTCACTGGTTCTGGGTGGCCATGTAGACTCTCTGGCGCTGGGTCTTTCCTGGTGTGGACAACGCACCTCCCGAGCACCGCTGCTTGCCTGCCTCACCACTCACCCACGAGCTGCTCAGGCCTAAAGGGCTCAGGCTCTTGCTGGGTCAGGTCTGGCAACTCCTCGCTGCTTCCAAACCATCTCTCCCTCCCCCTGCCACTCAGTCTGGTTCCTCAAGTCTGGCTTGATGTTCAGGGCTCCCAGACTTCCATATATAATCAGATCATTTGTTTTTTTGGGTCTTTGTTGTAAGAGGGTCCACTGGAAGCATCTGACTACCCCGCCATCCTGGCCCCTCCTCTGCCCCATAGAGTTTTCTAGGCTGTAATCTTTTCGGGAGCAGATTGCCAGGTTTTTCTCCCATGGAGCTGCTGGGGGTGTTCAAACTGCCAACCTTTCAGTTAGAACTGAGTGCTTAACCGTTGCACCACCAGGACAGTGTGCAAGATATATAAAAGGATAAGACTTGAGGTTGAAAAACTAATGTTCTGTTCTATGCATATTTAGCATTTTTTAGCTATTGTGTCAACTAGTACCTTAGTCGCTTCATTTAAACTGAAATTTTTAAATCACGTGGATCTTATTTTTTTATGAATGATGTGAATTATGAATCTAACCTTATTCTTTTCAAATTTTTCACTATCACATACAGAATAATCCATTGTTCTTGTTGATTTGAAATGCCACCATTATTACATCCTAACATCATTTTATAATACTTAAAATGTATATGCATATATATATGTAGAGAGAGAGGAATAAATGTGCTCTCATTAGTCTGCATTTTAAAATTTGCCAGTATTTTTATTTGTAAAAGCAAATACTTTAATATTTTTTTGAAACCAAGTTTCCACATACTTCATTAAAAAAAAGTAATATAATTTCAGAGAGGTAAGTTCTGATTACTACATGGCAGGGATGTTAATAGATGTGTTGAATTTGAAGACATTTACTTTTCTCTTGATCCTTGATTCAGTTCAGCATTAAATTCAAATGGTTGCCGAGGATGTAGAGAAATTTACAACCTTTATATACCACTGGTGGGAATGTAAAATCGTACAGCCATTTAGGAAGATTGTCTGGCAGTTTCTCGAGAGAGTTAGCACGTGACCCAGCAATTACACTCCTCAGTATACCCCCAAGAGAAATGAAAACACATGTCTGCATAAAAACTTACACATGAATGTTCATAGCAGCATTATGCATAATAGCCCAAAAGTGGAAACAACTCAAATGTTCATCGTCTGATGAATGGATAAATAAAATGTAGTATATCCGTACAATGGATTATTATTTGGCAATGAAAAGGGATGAACTACTTAAACATGCTAAAACAGGGTTGAATCTCGAAAACATTGTGCTGAGTGAAACAAAGTAGTCACAAAGACCACGTATTTTGTAATTTCGTTTATATGAAATGTCCCCCATAAAAAAATCTATAGAGACAGAAGGTAGATTAGCGTGGTTGTCTAGATCTGGGAGTAATGGGGATTGACTGCCGAGTTATAAGTGTTTCTTTTTTGGAATGATGAAAATGTTTTAAATTTGATTGTGGTAATAGTTGCACAACTCTGTGAACATACTAAAAAGCATTGTATTGTATGGTTTAAAAGATGAATTGTCTGTAATATGGTATATGAGTTATATCCAACTAAAGCTATTATCAAAAAAAAATCAAATGATTCTCAGGCATTATCAATAGGCCTTTTGTATTGTTTCTTCATCCTACCAGTGAAAAAACTTCGAATTACACAAGAAGCACAGTTCCCTTTTTACTGATTTTTTTTTGTTTTGTACGTTATATTACTTTCTGGCTACATACAATTACTAGTGATTATCATGTTTCTGTTAGTTTCTAGTGCCAAATTAAAAAGAAAAAAGAACTGGTTTGCAACAGCAGTATATACAGAAGTAGCCGTAGATGGAGAAATTAAGAAAACAGCAAAATCCAGTAGTTCTTCTAATCCAAAATGGGATGAACAGCTAACCGTGTAAGTGTGAATTGAAAATCTTCTAACGGGAGTATGCTCCTTGGAATGTGTTTTTATGAATCCTTGCCTTTTGCTTTTTAAACGAATTATTTAGCCATATCCTCTCTTACTCTCTTGGTATAGAAGTAAACATGGCAAAAATTCAGTCATCCTTAATTTTGGTATTTTGAAGTAAATGCTATAAATTTATGTACAGTAAAAGTATTATAACTAATGCATCAATTGTCTTAAATCTTTAGAAATTTGTTCAAAGAGAAATAGTGTTACTGTAAAGTCTCAGTAAGACTCAGTGTACTGCTAGTGTTTTAGTTTGCTTATTACAAAAATTTTTTATCTAGTTATTAAAGTCCTGATGTACTTGAAAGTAAATATTGTTTACATGCAATATTTTTTTCTTAAGTAAATTGAATTTCTGTCTTTTTAAAAATTATTGAAGTAAATTATGTAATAGGAATTCTCACTCTGAGTAATGGTTAGTGTACTCCTGTGTTTTCTGTATAATTTTATGTTACAGAAATGTGACCCCACAGTCTACATTGGAATTTCGAGTCTGGAGTCATCACACTTTAAAAGCAGATGCTATGTTGGGAAGAGCAACAGTAGATTTGAAACAAGCTCTGTTAAAACACAATAGAAAATGTAAGTTTTTTGTTCTAACTCTCTTTGTTACTTTAAGAGCTTATTCTAAGACACTTTGAAATTATCCTGAAGTACAAAAGCAGAATAACAGTTTTGTATTCATAATGGAAAACTTTGTTTACTGCCTGTGATTGCTGTAAGGCCTGTGACATTCCATAAAATAGGAAATATTTACGCTGGCCTTTCTATATCTCACAGATTTACAAAATGATCTCATTCATCCTCAAGTACCCTGTTATCAGTGATTTATTATCCTCTTATTATTATATACTTTAAAACTTCTAAATACAATCATTTTCTGAGTCTACTTTGTTTTTCAGCTAGTAACAATTTTGTTTGTATAAAATAAATTATAACCCTTGAATTTTCTTTTTTCGTTATACAATTAATTTTGTTATAGAAAATATGGAGAATATAGAAAACCACAAAAAGGAATATAAAAATTATTTGTAATTCTTCTGTCCAGAGATAACCTTTCTTAATAATTTGTCTCTGTCTTTGTCTTTTTCTTGTGCATAAACACAAATACATATTTTTTGTACTTCTTGGCATCTACTGATGCATCCCTTGCTTTTTTTTCATTTAACAATATAATGTGAACATCGTGTTTCCATGACATTAAATTCTTTTAGCCTAGGGATTCGTAAAGTAGAATAATACCTGTTGCTGTTAAGTTCATTCCATCTCATAGCGACCCTATAGTACAGAGTAGTACTGCCCCATGGGGTTCCTAAGGAGCAGCTGGTGGATTTGAACTGCCAGCCTTCTGGTTAGCAGTCAAGCTCTTAACCACTGCACCACCAGGGCTAGGCATCAATTATTTGTAAACCTCCAGTCATTGTATTCAAAGATTTGGGAGTATGTACATAATGTTTGTGATTCTGGGGAGAGGGCTCATAGCTTTTATCAAATTCTGAAAATGTGTGATCTAAAGAAAGTGAAAAACCAGTTTTCTAGTTTATAATTTTTAATGGCTACAAAATGTTTTTCACGCCCTGTTTTTTTTGTAACTAATCTTCTATTGTTCCACATTTTATCAGTTTCTCTTAGTTCGCTGAAACTAATGCTGTAATGAAAGCCATCGTTCAGATGTGTCTTTGTGCACATCTTACTGTTTTCTTAGAGCTTTTGTCATTAATTACTAGAAGTAGGTTTACTGGGTTAGGCTTAAAATGCTAATGCTTAAAAATAATAGATTGATTTTTTTTTTTATTTTCATGTCTCCATTTAATGAAAAAGAAAATTCACATGTAAAAATCTGATTTTGAGCAGTTAATACATTGATAATGTTTTTTTGGATGTAAGGAGTGATTAGTCAAGAAAATATAAAGCCATACTCATTTTTATGTGTTCTGATTTCTAAAAAAATATTCCCTTGAAGCATTGAAATTTTGATTCTCTATATACCGTGTTTTATTTTTATTTTTGGTTGTACAATTTGTCATGGTTACAGACAAGTAGTAGGCTTTGTAAGCATATATTACATTGCCAAGTGTTAGGATGGAGGCTGGATTTATAGTTTTTTTCCCTAGCTATATGACATTATTGATATAAATATATACCTCAGTTAACCCATATTCTTTCAGAATTGAGTGTTTGGTTTTACCTATTTGTATATTTCTTCACTGAACTGTGCATTTGTATGGGACCTCTTTTTTAGTACAGATGATTATTTCTCATATTCTTGTAGCCCAGAGATAAAAACAGCTAACATTTTGGTGAATTTTGACTCTGTGTATGTGTATAACAATTGGGATCATATTCAGTTTTGTATTCTGCTTTGTTTTCTTAAATGTTATATGATGTGCTTTTTCCTATATAATTCAGTGATACTCTTCAAAAGTTGATTTTAGTAGTTCCATAATAGTTTATCACATATTATAATTTATTTTACTACACTCCCATTGTTGGGCATTTAGATTATTTCCAATTACATTAGATTAGACCGTACTGAACCTGCATATAAAGATTATATTTATCTGCCAAAATGATTTTCATTATAATTGTATGTAATGTGATGAAACTTCAAACACTTTGAAATGAAACCCTCTAAATTGTATAAAGTTAAAATTATCTTTTATGATTTAATCAAGCAGAATAGACTCAGAGGGAAATAAAATTTTATTAACAGTCATGCAGTGAGTGAGTAGATGGCCTCAGAAATTGTAGTAGTAGCATCCAGCACACACTAGGTAGGCATTCAGTAAATTTGTTTGAATAATTTAAAGGTGAATAAATTCATTTCAGAAATTAAACCTTTTAGTAAAGTCATGTGCTTTAAAAGATAGAAGAAACCTTTGGGAATTATCTAGTCCCAGCCATTCGTTTTATTGATAAAATAACTTAATCTTTACTCCAGAGTATACAAGTAATTGCAAGGTTGTGACTAGAACACAGGTTTTCTGATTCTTCTTCTTCTTGTTAGTTGCTGTGGATTTGATTCCAACTCATGACGACCCCAAGTGTGCAGAGTAGAACTGCACTCCATGGGGTTTTCAAGGCTGTGATTTCTTGGAAGCAGATTGCCAAGCCTGTCTTCTGAGGCGCCTCCGGGTAGTTTGAACAGCCAAAGTTTTGGCCAGTAGTCGAAGCACTTAACCATTTGCATCACCCAGGAACTCAGCTGATTCTTAGCTGCCTAATTTTGATTAGAAGCATTAGAAGGTTAATACGGTACTGGACAACCTTGAAGCAATTTAAAAATACATTACAATTTTTTTTTATAATTTATTTTTTGTTGTTATTGCGAATATACACAGCAGAACATACCCCAACAATTTCTACATGTACAATTCAGTGACATTGACTGCATTCTTCAAGTCGTATGACCATTCTCACTCTCCTTTTCTGAGTTATTCATCCCCCATTAACATAAGCTCACTGCCCTCTAACCTTTCAAGTTACTATTGTCAGTTTGATCCCATATAGATAGATCTTAAAAGAGCACAATGCTCAAGACAGGCATTCTTTACTAGTTAAGCTAAACTATTGGTTGGTTTTAAGAAAACTTCTGGAGATATTTTTGGTTTGAGGTTTAAAGATTATCTTAGGGCAGTAGTTTCAGGGGTTCTTCCAGCCTCCATGGCTTCAGAAAGTATGGATTCCATGAAAATTTTAAAATCTGTTCTGTATTTTCCCCCTTCTGATTAGAATTCTTCTATAGAATCTTTGATCAAAAAATGCATTTACAATTGATGATAATATTCTTGGTTGCCTTTGATTTAATCTCCTTAGTACTTGGATTCTAGATTTCAGTTAGACATCAGTTGAATGAGCTCTCATTAAATTTTGGGGGTGTTTTGGTATTTAACCTTTAAAAATTAGCAAACAAAAAATCTGCTTAATGACAAAACTGGTAACCCAACAAAAACATGACAGCCCAGTGATGGAATATTTGGTACTGAAAATTTTACCTGTCCCCACCCTCAAATCAGGAATTACTGGTCTAGTGGGGAATGGTTAATCATAAAAAGTAGTTTTCCTGAGGTGTATTGGATCCAGAAAAAGTTTAATAATTAGCACCTTAAATGAATAGAATCTGTTTACTTGTATAAAAGGCTACAGTGGAAGAGCATTCTGGAGTGAATATGTCTTTTTTCCTTGCCTATTTGCAGAGATTAGATTTTTCAGAGGATGAAATGGGGGAGGAATTTCCTAAAGGGAAAAAAAGTAGATTGAGTTTTTAGGTCTCATGACAAAGAAGAGGTCAGCACTGCACACTGATCTGTCTCTTAAGGAGGAGCCCTGGATCTAGCAGGCTTGGAAAGTTCAAGCATGTTTCTAATAAGACACTTAAAAAGTTTATGATATCAATGGTAGATGGGATAAGGTCCTTGAAGGCAGATTACAATATGGAAGAGGGAACTGGAAACAGAAGAAATATTTGTGGGGGTCATGATATTCTAGGGTAATTTTAAAGGGTGAAAAGTTTAGTCATAGTAGGAAAGTTATTGTAGGAATTTGAGATGACATTTATAAAAACTCTGAACCACAAACAAAATGGAATTAATGAGCAGCTTGAATAGACTTATTCATCTGTTGTTTCATTTGCTCCCACTGCAAACAGCCAAAGATTAAGAATATTTTTTTAGCAGACTGACTTGATTATTGATCAGATTAGTAAGAGAAACTTATTCTGCATTAAGATTTCATTTGATTATTCATGTAGAATCCCAATATATAAAGCACGCAGTAGTATTGAACCACACAAACATGCACATACTCAGATGCATCCACACTTTTTGTCCCGACAGTCCCTGAACTAACTTTTGTGAAACCCTGTTCCTCAAACCAGTTTGAAGATGCACTTGGCTAGGAGATCAAATCCAACTCCTGGTTGGACTTCAGAGCATTCATTCAGTTTCTCTAATTTTTTGCTTATATCTTGGTACTCTGACCTCTCCTATCCAGGCTAGTCCTCTCATTTTTTTCTGAATACGCTTTGCTTATTCTCCTTTTTTGAAAGCACTTCTCTGTCACTAGTCACTTCCTTGGTATTTTCAATAGTTATATGTTAACATATGGAGTTATTGGAGTCCTGGTGATGCTGCTAACCAAAAGGTCAGCAGTTCAAATCCACCAGCTGCTCCTTGGAAACCCTATGGAGCAGTTCTTCTCTGTCCTCTAGGGTCGCTATGGAGTTATTATGGATAATGGTATGGATAGTACATCTAAGTTAATTTCCTCCTATTGCTAGCCAGTTTTTTTAATGAATGAATTTGGTCCATTAGCATGTAATGGTAAACTTAGCTAGCAGCACCCCCTCCCCCCTTTTTTTGTCTTGCCAATGATGCAGGCTCTGTAGTGGAATCATTGTTTTTGTCTAAGGGCTATTGGAATGTAACCTTATCCTTCAGTATAAACTTACTTAAACCCACCTTGAAAACCCTATAGAGCACGGCTCTGCTCTTGACACATATGAGGTTGCTGTGAGTTGGAGTCAGCTCAGTGGCAACTGTTTTTTTTAAACCCCCTTTAAATCCTTTTTGGAACTAGGTAAA